AAGGGTCAAGCAAGCTATATAAGGAAGATCCTGACGTCAGTTTTCAGTTTTATGATAGACGTTACACGTTAATGTTATCAGTTGCATTGTTATTGTTAAAGTTCAGTTGAAATAAATTGTGATACCAAAAACCTGCGTAACAATATATTAACCAATTGTCCAAAAAAGTTCAACCAACAACTTTATGGACACAATACTCTATGCTTCGGAGTACCTTATATATTAACCATAACTTAGACATCAGTAAGTATTTAAAATTGAAGGCCTATCTTAAACGAACAAATGATGCTTATATGCCAAAAAAAAGCAAAAGTACTAACTCCTAAAGAAATTAATGAATTTCTAGTTGAAGCACCGGACAAAGATTACCTTTTTACAAAAGTAAGTTACTAATTTCAATGTTTTCCTATATTTTAAACTATTTTTTCAATCTATATTTTAGGTAGTGCTACTCGTAGTTATAGGTATATCAGGTGCGTGCCGTAAACAGGAACTAAAACAACTAACTGTTGATGATATAACTGACTTGGGAAGTGCAGCAATAATTACGTTAAAAAATACCAAAAACAAAGCAATTAGAAAATTTACAATTACTGTCAATTTTTATGGGATATTTAAAAAATACTTTAATTTAAGGCCAAAAATAAATGAAAAACAGTTTTTATAAATTATCAAAAAACAAGATGTACCAGACAAGTAGTCGGAATAAATAAAATTGGCAGTGTACCACAAGTAGCGAAATTTGTAAAATTAAAAAACCCAAATTTGTATACTGGGCATTGTTACAGACGATCGTCTGCAACAATACTAGTCGACTCATGTACATCACCTCTTTGAAGCGGCATGGAGGCTGGAAGTCTTCAAATGTTGCAGAAGGTTAAATCGAAGAGTCAATAGCAAAACGAATGAAAATATCAGAGAAAATAGTTGGGGCAATAAAAAATCTGGTTTTAGAGGAAACATACTCAAATAATATAGAAACTAGTATAGAATTGCACGACTTAAACGTTGAAAAAAATATACAAAATACTTTATTATCAGATAATGTTTCTCAAACAACAATAAATTTTCACAACTGTTCCAATAATCATTTTACATTTAATTTTCATGGGTCACATGACAAAAATTAAAAAAATGCTGTTTATTTTTCCACACTTGTTATGTAATATACTATTACGCGTATGTGACTGTGAAAAAGTATTTTATTTTATTTTTGTTTTTAAAATTGACTGAAATGATACTCATTTACGCTTTGTTTTCTTTTTAACTCTAGATTATTTTATTTATTATTGTTGTATTCTTTGAAAGCCGCAAAGTATAGGGCATGTTCGAATTCCTAGTATTTTTAAAAACATGTGTTTATTTTCAAATGTACCACTTGACTATCCTGTCGGTTTCTTGATCTGTCGCCAGCAAAAAGGTTTTACGGGCTTGGGAACGAGCAGTGGTTTATCGGTTTATTGTAATATATTCGTGCAGTCAAGATTTAGATATTGTAAAGGCAACATCAAACAATAAAGTGATATTTTTCAATAGTGGTGACCTTTCATCTAAATTTGCATTAACTGGGGCTTATTTCAAAAAGGGGATGAGCGACAATTTTTTTCCACGCCAAATTTACGACAAAAAAGCCAAATTATCCATATAAATTTTTTTTTGCTAATATTTGTAATTGGTACTGCTAATTTTACCGTGAAGTTAGCACTACTAAAGGTTATTTTGAAAAGGGGATGAGCGATAAATTATCTTTTTCCATGACAAATTTACGACAAAAAAAGCTACGAATTCTCCAATTTTCAAAACAAAATCAAAAAATTTAGAGTGGTAGTGCTAACTTCACTGACGTAAAATTTTTAGCAGCTATATAAAATAATTAAATTTCGAATAATAAATGTACATACACATCATAAAAACTTTTACTAGTGAGATAAAGAAACAACGTCTTAACTAATAATCCAAACGAATAAACATTGTAAATAACGCAGTCTTGATTGTATAGGTATAGATTGACGCCGCATAGCGACATGAGAAAATTAATATCTGGCAACGCTGCAGCGAAGTTCGTGTTTGAGATCGACGTTTTTTTTTTTTTTTCATCACGCTACGTGCAATAAAGCGGTTGAGGTAGGTAGCGATTATTGCATCAATGTTGTATTCCTAGAACCGGTAATTATCCATATCGCCATCGTTCGCGTTAGCCTCCTTTTATTCGATACCATCTTAAGGTGTGTTGATTTTATTTATTCATTATTTATTATTTGTTTAACTTTATTTTTATTTGTTCTGATGAACAGCTACCGAGGAGAACCTCGTAAATATCCTCCTAATAGTCGGAGAGCTGATGACGAATTTGAGGAAGGTGTTTTAGGCAACTTGAAATTATAAAAAACAGAATCTTGAGTAGAATCCAAAAATGAAATATTATATAGGGTGTCGTATTTAAAATAAACGACTAAAGGTACCTATATTTCCGGTAGAATTGAAAAAGTTGTTCTAGTCATTACTTTCGTAATAAATCTATTAATTTTTTGGTTTAAATGTTACGTTATTACAGGTTTGTTCCAACACAATAGCAAATTGGTTAACGTACTGTCGGGATCCTGCGCAGCCCAGAATTGGTGTTCCAACAAACTTCGGACGCAAAACTGTACAAAAACCTAGTGTTCCAACACAAACAAACCTAATCACAAACCACGACAGGGATTCTTATCTGAGAACTCAACACGTTACGTGTTGAATAAAGACAGACATTACATCCAACGAAGATAGAAGCTTCTCAACACGTGCCGAATTAAAAGATGAGAATCCCACTGCTGTTTCTGTACTATCAAATCAGTTTCTGGGTCTGAATTAGGGGTCGAGAACTATCGATAGTTTCGAATATCGAAAACAATAGATATTTTTTCAAAACTATCGATAATTAACAGATATTTTTTTACAGCGAATTTTATTGAAAGGGTTAGTGCTCACTAAGTGTATTCGTGTCTTTTTCTACCAGCTTGTATGCATAAAGATACATTTTTTCTGCACTGGTTCTACCTAGAATTCGCTATAGTGTCTGTGGACTTTCAGATTTTAGCGTTTTGCGATCGGAAACCGGCGTATTGGGCATATTTGCTATTCTGACGTGACACTAGTGACAGGTGACATTGTGATGTGACTTTTGCTTACTGGTTCCGGTTTTGGCGGTTTTGTTATTCCATGGTTATTCCTGAGTTTTCCACATTTCCCAGTTTTCTTTTCATTCATCATCCCATTCTCTCTTTTCCATTCGACGTTATTCTTTATGTTCATGTCCAGGCATCGAGTGTCCACTTTTTCGGTGATTTGTGCCAAACAAGATGGATAATTTTTTAAGGTTAACCAATGGAAATAAAGGCAAAGGTAATAGTAATTTTTTGTACTTTTTTTAATATCACAGATGATATCTTAAAACAACGAGATAAAGGTAAAATTGGAGTATTAGTTTTATTAGATTACAGCAAGGCATTCGACATGATCAATCATGACTTATTATTAACAATTTTAAATTTCATAGGATTTGAGAAACGAACTATAAATTTTTTTAGAAATTATTTAACAGGAAGATGTCAAAGAGTAGTATTTAATGGAAGCAAATCAAATGCTGGCCCCGTAATGCGTGGAGTGGCACAAGGATCTATTTTAGGCCCTTTACTTTACACCATTTATACTAATAATTTGGTATCAGCTATAAGTAGATGCAGCATCCATATGTATGCTGATGATACTCAACTATACTACTTCTTTGACCCGTCTGAAATTACAGCCTCAGAAAAAATTATTAATGATGATGTCAATGCATTAGTAGAGTTCTCATCTTGTCACGACCTTGTAATTAACACGTCTAAATCAACTGTTCTAACATTCGGACCTAAGAGTAACCATGTTTGTAATATCAAAATTAAAAACAACTTATTGCCAGTATCTGACTTTGCTAAAAATTTAGGTGTAGTATTTGATAATAAACTTAAATTTGATCGTCACGTTTCTCATATTCTGCAAAAATCATATGGTAAGCTAAAACTCCTTTATACCAATAGACAAGTCTTAAATTCAAACTTAAAAAAGGAACTCTGTGACTCTATGGTATTATCACTTGCAAACTACTGCGATTATGTTTACGGCCCCTGCCTTGACTGTGTACAAAGAAGGAGGCTCCAAAAATTGCAGAACTCATGTTTAAGGCTAACTTACGGCATCCGTAAATTTGATAGAATTTCCCACACCTTAAAATTAGCTAAATGGCTAAACATGGAAAATCGTAGAAAAGCGCATGCTTTGTGTTTTCATAAAATATTATCTACACATTCTCCGACATACCTCTTTGACAAAACTAGATTTAGGTCCGACATTCACAACACTTGTATGAATATACGTAGAAAGGAACTCATAGATATCCCTAAACATAAAACATTTCAATTTCAAAATTCTTTCTCTTATCAGATTGCAAAACATTATAATGAAATTCCAAATGAATTTAAAACAATGTCCTTGCCACGTTATAAAAAGCATATAACTAAGTTATTATTTGAAGAACAGTGCGTTATTTTTTCAAATCCTTCCAACTGTTAAATTAAACCCATAAATGTAAAAAATTGTAAACCATTATTAAGAAAACGTGATACAAAAAACTGTTAAAAAAAATGTTAAAAAAAAATGTATACAATGCAAAAAAATGTTGAAAAAAATGTTAAAAAAATCCTGTCAAAAAAGTGTTTCGTTGTGTTTGTATATACATATATATATTTTTTGTTGTTCATCCGTGTTTTATAGTTATACGTATTTTAATATTTTTTTTTTTTACTTTCATGTAGGCTTTTGAGGAAGAACAGTTTTTAACTGATCATAAGTCCTTTTGACCGTTTGTATGTTTTATTTACTTTGTAAAGTTGTTTGTAAATGGTTAATATGAGGTCAATAAAATTTATTATTATTATTATTAATATAATAAAGTAGTAAATTATTTTTTACGTTTTTAGAAAAAAATAATCAACAAAATGAAAATGGCGATTTTGCGATTTCTGTAGGAACCTGCAGGAATAATGATTTAGACTTGGTGATTCAAGACTTAGACAATTCACAGTATTCGAATAATGAAAATCAAAGTACATCTGATGCCACTGCTGGTGGTGTGAAGAGAAAAAGGGTGCGAGTATCGGCGGTTTGGAAGTATTTTAGAAAATCTAGTGACAAAAAATTTGCCAAATGTATCAATTGTGGTCAGGAATATAAAAGCAGCGGAAATACCTCGAATCTTGCAGACCATCTCAGAAGACATCATCCATTAATAAAAAATAGAACACTCAATGAAGAAACTGCTTCAAGCAGTGCTACTGGCTCTTCCAGTTTAGAGTCGACATCAACATCTTCCAGTGCTCGATCTAATATTAGATCTATTAGCCCATTTTTTAAAAGAGCAATTCAATATGAGACAACCTCACAACGGAAGATTCAAATCGATAAAGCAATATTGGAAATTATTGCGCTAGATTTTCAACCATTTACCATTGTTAAAGATAAAGGATTTAAAAGACCAATTAACTTACTAGATCCAAGGTATGTACTTCCAAGTCCATACACTCTAAGTGGCAAATTGTTGCAAAACTCTTATCAAGAGCAATATCAAAAATTGAAAAGTGATTTAGCCGAAGCAAAATATGTTGCAATAACCAGTGACTCCTGAACTTCATGTGTTTCTGAGTCATACCTAACTGTGACCTGTCACTACATAAATAAAAAATTTGAACTTAAGTCAGGGGTCCTTTCAACTAAGCCTTTAGCAAATGGTGTAAATCATACTGCAGAAAATATAGCAGAATCTTAAGCAAATACATTTAAAGAATGGAACAGTTTGTTGTATAGTGACTGATAATGCAGCAAACATGATTAAAACATGTGAGTTACTTAAAAAAAGGCATCTTCATTGTTTTGCACACACCCTTAACCTTGCAGTACAAGAAAACTTTGATTGTATAAAACCTCTTATTAAGAAGTGCAAAGATATAGTTACATTTGTTAAATCCAGCAATGTCGCAATGGAAATGTTTAAGAAGGAGCAAGGGATTAATGATAGTACAACACACAAACAGTACAAGCTAATACAAGAGGTACCAACTAGATGGAATAGTACCTACTACATGGTCGAAAGAATTCTAACTACCAGTGAAGCCCTTGGTAGGACCCTTTTGAAAATTCGAAAAGCCCCTCATCCATTGTCTGTAGATGAACTATCTATCCTAACTGACTCTGTAAAAGTATTAAAATGTTTTGAAGAGGCTACTAAAAAAATTTCAGGTAAGTGGTTTTTGTATTTTCTTATTTTTTTTTAAATAAACTAAAAATCTATATAATTATTTTAGGAAGCACTTACACAACTATTTCATTAATAATTCCCCTCTCTTTTGGAATTTATAACTTTTTAACAACAGTAATAACAGACCTAGATACAGAGGAGGGAAAAATATTTTGCAGTGGTTTAATTGAATCAGTGAAAAAAAGACTATTTCCATATGAAACTAGATCTGTAACAAAAATGGGAACAATTATTGATACAAGATTTAAAAAAGAGGTTTTTAGAAGCACAGAAAATGCTGCATCTGCAGCTGCAATTCTTGAACAAGAAATGCAAGCAATTTACAGAAAAAACACCATTGAAAGACAAAATAGGGATGTTGAACAAGAATCTGTTTCACAAAACGTTAAAAAGTCGCCATCTCTTTTTTCATTCTTAGAAAATAGAGTAACTGGAAAAAATAAAGTCAGTTACCGTTGATGTTATTATCACCAAAAGGCAATTTTTAGAAAAGCCAAACTCTGCTGAAGATGCAGATCCTCTTTTGTTTTGGAAGGTATGCAAATAGCTAAAAACAAATTTGTAATCTTAACTAATTTTATTTTGTTTTAGATAAGCGGTAATGAGTTGGCACCAATGAGTGAGTGCGCAGAGAAATTTTTATGTATCCCAGCTACATCTGTTGAAAGTGAGAGAACTTTCAGTACAACCGGTCAGGTGGTAACAGATATAAGACCAAAGTTAACGCCATCAAATGTGGATAAATTAACTTTTCTTCATAAAAACCTATCCTAAATACATGGATATAAATTTATTTATATGGCATTGATTTTTTTTGTAAAGAAAATTTATTTAAATAAAGCCTTGTTAAGAGATTGTTTATAAAACTTATTATTTAACATCAATTACCATTAAAATCTATGCAAATGAGTATTTTTTAATTTGTGATAAAACTATCGAATACTATCGAGAGTTATCGATATTTTCTAAAAAACTATCGATAACTATCGATAGTTCTCGACCCCTAGCTGAATATGAACGAATTTCTTAAATATATTTATTTTGACAGTATCGATCGTAGTCTTGATCCAAGGATTATGATACTATTATCGATCGTAATTTGGTTTTTATTCATTATCATTATAGTCGTATTATTTTATACTTGTATCTGCCGATTTATTAATAATGAGTAAAGAAAGTGAAAAGGACTATTATTCTGACTTATATATAGTAAAAAAAGGTTTACTGTACTAAACAATCATATAATCAAAATTTTTAAAACTTTTAATGAGTTTTATAATTTTTTTTATTTCCCAAATTCAAAATTTAACATTTACTAAATTTGTTTTGACATTGACGTTACTGACAATAAAAAACACATCCAAGTTCCAAATTGGGTCCCAATCCTCGACAAGTCGTGGACAGGTCGTCGACTATCAGTCGTCGACAATAAGTTGTGAACTGGTTTATGTATGGTTCCAAGATTGTTGTTGGAACAAACCTTACGTTTTCCTTAAGTTTATTACTATTCATTCAAAAAAAGGACCGAGAAAGAACTGAGAAAATTTTTGAAAATTCTATTATGCGTAGTCAATTTCCCATTTCAAGCAAGCACAATTTAAAAGTTAACAGACAACGTATTGCTACCCTGCACCCTACAGTAATCGGGAGAAGCCGGTCACCCACACTTAGCCGGCTTTCTAGCAATAATCAGGAAGCAGTGCATCGAATAGGCCGTCTCCATAGCAACGAAGACATTCTTTACAGTTGACCCTGTTTAGAATGACAATTTCGGTACTGTAAAAGTATTGATGAATGCAGATAATCAATATGATAATACTTTATTTGGAAATCGTATAAAAAATATAAATGTGACAAATATCAAAAATATGACAACTACTACAGCTAACAAGAAACAGTAAAAACAATTAGCAACCGTTAAGTATCTAGTGAAAGTATTAAGAGAAAGTGAACGTTTTATCTCAATACTCCCCCTAAAACTTCAAGTTTCATTGTGTATCATTCCTAACATTGAACGCAGTCTTTCGAACTGAGTTTTAGGAATGGGCTTAGTTAGGATATCTGCTACCTGCTGGTTACCGGGAACATGTTCAATCTGTAACATTCCTCGTTGAACTTGTTCTCGTATAAAGTGAAATCTAACATCAATATGTTTAGATCGTTTATGAAAACTAGGATTTTTGGTTAACTTTATAGCACTCGCGTTATCAACTAGAAGTAACGGCACTGATTTCAAAGGCGCGATTTCACTGAACAACCGAGTCAGCCAGACGCAATCCTTAGCTGCCTCACATGCAGACACATACTCCGCTTCCATTGTAGATAGCGAAACACTCTGCTGCTTTTTGCTCGACCAGATAATAGGCCCTCCATTGTACTTAACAAGATTACCACTAACTGAACGTCGTGTACTGGGATCACTGGCATAATCCGAATCACTGAAGGCTTCCAATATACAAGATTTTTCACCAGCTGTATAACAGATACCAAGTGTTGACGTGCCCTTCAAATATTTAAATATTCGTTTCACTATCTTCCAGTGTCTTTCTTCGGGTTTTTCAAGAAACTGAGAAGCATAGTTAACGCTAAAGCAAATATCTGGCCGTGTAGCTACAGCCAAATACATGAGACAACCCACAGCTTGACGGTAAGGTGAAGTTGTCAAAATATTATTTTCGTCCTCCGTTAGTTGACATTTCTCAATTGGCGTTGATACAGCATTGGCGTCCTCCATACTAAACTTACGAAGGATACTTTTAGTATAGGATTCTTGACTTATGTAAATGGACCCATTATCCGTTCGTTTGATTAGTATGTTTAAGTAGTATCCAACTGGTTCAATTTTTATTTTAAATTCATCTTTTAATTTCTGGAGGAATTCATCGACCAATGCCTTTCGTGTAGCCGCTACTAACCCGTCATCGACGTATAACGCTACCAATAGCTTTTGACCGTTATCAATCCAATAAAACATACAGGGATCAGCAGAACTTTCCAAAAGTCCAAAATGTAATAAAACATCTTTGAATCTTTTATTCCAGCATCTAGGAGACTGTTTCAAACCGTAAAGACTTCTATTGAGCTTACATACTCTATTAGTGTTATCCTCGAAGCCCTCGGGTTGGTTCATGAATATTTCTTCATCGATGAAGCCATAAAGAAATGCTGTTTTCACATCGAATTGTGCCAGTTCAAGAGATTCGTTGGCTGCTATGCTCAAAATAGTTCGGATGGTATCGAAACGTACTACTGGGCTAAAGGTTTCATTGTAATCGATACCTTCCCGCTGACTAAATCCTCGAATTACAAGACGTGCTTTGAAACAATTTATCTGGCCATCACCTTTACGTTTTACCTTGTAGACCCAACGATTTGAAATAGGCCGACGACCTTCTGGCAACTCAACTAAAGTCCAAGTTGAGTTTTCTCTCAAAGAATTCATTTCATCTTCCATCGCCTGTTGCCATTTAGATGATTCAAGCGAATGTATGGCTTCCTTGAAACTCGTTGGTTCATCTATTTCAACGAACATGGCTTCGATAGAATGTTCAGGTACTAAAATTGTTTTATTATGGCTTCGAAGATTATATCTCATAACTTCAGCTTGTTCTTCATTTTCTACGTTCTCGTGTTCTGAAGTTTTACTTTGAGTATCAGGAAGATTTTCTTCAGAATTCTGATTTTCCATCTCGACATTTTCAACGGGAAATATAGCCAAAGTTTTACAGGTGCTTTCTGGTACAAAGACAACACTTTTGCTTCGTATGACTTGGTTACTAACTTTCATCCAGATACGAAATCCATCGACATGATCTGAATAACCAACAAAAACACCACACTTTCCTTTGGGGTCCCACTTTTGTCGCTTTATTTTGGGTATATGAACATAACATTCTGTACCAAAAATGTGAAGCCGTTCCAAATGGAGACCTTTTCCTGTGAACAGCTGCCATGGTGTTTTTCCGTGTATACTGCTTGGCCCAGTTTGGTTGAGTGTAAAAACAACATAATTGCCCACAAGGATTTTGGTAGATTCTTTGACAAAAGCATTGTTCTCGCCAAATCTAGAATGGTTCTGTTGGTTCTCTCTGCGCAACCATTCTGTTCAGGTGTATATGGATTTACAGTGTTAAATATGACTCCATTTGACTGGAGTAATTCTTTTACTTTTGCATTGGCGAATTCAGTACCAACATCACATTGAAACATTTTCATAGGCCTTCCGCATTGAGTTTTCACAAATTCAACGAAATCAGATATGTGTGTTATAGTCTGAGATTTTTCTTTTAGGAAATAAACTTTTTGATATCTAGAGTAATCGCAAGTAAAGCACAAAAAGTATTTTGACCCTCCCAAGGAGGAAGATTCCATTGGCCCACATAAATCAGCATGGACAACTTCGCCAGGTTCAGTCGCTCGTTGTTGTCGTTCTCTGAAGCTACTTCTGTGTTGTTTACCTTCTACGCACGCCCCACAAAACTGTCCGTCTTCTATGTAGCTGACTCCGTGAGTCTTTAATACTTCTGCAACGTGACGTTTATTTTGGTGTGCGAATCGTTCATGCCACATCTGCAACGTATCGTTTGAAGTAAAATTTGCTTCATTGACTGGAGAAGTTACAGGAATCTTTACCCGTATAGACATTCTGAACAGCTTTCCGAATTTTATTCCTTCAGCTTTAACAACACCACTTTTGACAAATTTACAGACATTGCTTGACATTGTAAAAGTCATTCCTTTTTCAGTTACTGAGGGTACCGAAAATAAATTTCTTCTCGCAGATGGGACAAAAAGGACATTTTCCATACGGCATGATAACCATCTTCCGTTGACCTTAGCTTCAAAAGGAATAGTACCTCTTCCAAGGGCATTCATCGTGGAATTATCACCTATATGAATTTTCAAAGGAGTACTAAATTGTTCAAAGGTAGAAAACCATTCAGCGTGATGCGTTATGTGGTCGGTAGCACCAGAGTCAACAATCCAAAAGTCACTGTCGAGTTCGGCATTTTCAATTTCGGAAACAACAGCTTCATCCTTTTTATTTATAGATGAAACCTTTTTCTTTTCTGGGCAATCTTTTCGAAAATGGCCTCTTTTACCACAATGATAGCATTTGAATGACTTTCTAGATTTGGTAGACGTTTGATTCTTAGTAACAGAAGGTTGGGTCTTTAATTTAGTGGCAATCAGTGCAACTAGTTCTTTTTGTTTTCCAACTCGTTGTTTCTGACGCGTTTCTTCTGCAGTTAGAACTCCTATAAGATTATCAAGCTTCTGCTGATCTTCCGGTCTTGCCCACCAAGCTTGCTGAAGACTTTCATACTGATCTGGTAAAGTATCTAGCAATTTTACGATTAAGGATGCTTCATCAGGTTTTACATTTAGTTGTTGCATTCGTAAAACCAACCCTTCAAATTTTGAGATGTGAGTAACCATATCATCATCTGAGGTCATGCTAAAGCCAAAGAATTCTGCTTGAACAATATGCGCTGCTTGTTTGGTTTTCTGTTCAAATACAGCATGCAGTTTTAGCCACATGTCTCTAGCCGTATCACAAGCTACTAATAGTGACATAACTTTAGCTTCCACCGATTTGATGATTACTTGACTTGCTGC